TGCGCCAGCGCCTATTCCGCCGCTCGCCGCTCGCTCGACACTCAATTCACGTCGATCGCACACTCGTCTCGCGGTCCTCGTCTGCGCTCCCCCACCTCCAGCCGCTCGCCCCTCCCAGATGCCCTGTGTCCTCCCCTCCCTCGTCCCCCTCGCCCGTCCCGTCATCTCGTCTGGCGGGTGCGACAAGTACTTGGATAATGCACTAATCGAACATCATGTGTGTTCTCACCTCCGCCCTGCCACAGCTCCGCTCACAGCAGCGCATTTACAGCCCTAGAAACGCGTATTTTGCACCTTCCCGCCGGACGAGTGCACAAATCCGGCGTGTAGCTCGCCCAAATGGCGTGTATGCGTCGCCCCGACACGCCCCTGTAACCGTTCGCGGTATGGAGCCATGGTCATGCGCCAAATACGAATGCGGCTGCCTGTGCACACACGCCCCGCGCCCGCGCCCGTCTTGGTGCGCACCTCCCGCCAAGCTCGGAGTCCGTTAATCATTGTATCTTGATGGCGTCTCCACATCCGCGAAGCCGCCCCGCGCATCCCCCGCCCTGCACGTCGTCCAAGTGCCGGCGCCTTTTTGAGCCTCGGACGGATCTCTGGGCCTTCTACACGCGCGAGTCCTGCGTTTGCGCGCGCGAACTCTTTGCGATGCACTAGATACAGTACCTCTCTTTTGCGTGAGGCATTCCCATCTCATTCTGGCGCAAACTGCGCTGACAGTGCCGGTATTACAGGTCCTCCGATCACAAATTAGCACACCGCGCCCGCTAGACTGGCCGTCTCGACCGCCCAGCGTGATATGTAGTGCTTCAAGGGTGCACCTGGCGATGTGTAGCGATACCCGCGATGTACGCCAAAAATCCTTGCGCGTACGCCGGACGGCGCCCGCCACAAGCGCCCCTCGAACATGTTCTCGCCCCCGCTTGTCAACGCCGCCGCGAGTGCATTCCCAACCGATGCTATGAATGTTCCATGATCAGGACGAATGGGAATGGCGAGTCTCAGCGTGAGTCGAGCGGGAAAATATTTTTGACATGTCTCATCGCTTTGCAGCTGCAGATTACGGTAAAACATGCGTTACGGCTTGCCCTGACGTCGTACCGCGGCATCAATCGTCCACCACATGCCCGTGTGCGTTTTACAGTCTCACGGGGCATTCAAGAGCACCACGCGTGGTCCCGCGAACACGCCGACAGGCTCGTCTTGAACAGCACACACCCGCTCTCCGAGTGTACGCACCGTCAGAGTCGAGGAAAGGCGTGTAAAAGCCACGAAGCTTTGCGTGGGCCTCGTGGCCGCTCACGCCAAGCTCGCAAACGTACAGTGCGTCGCGCGGCGGATGGTCCGCGCTCGCGTCCTACGTCCTACCTGACCCGCGGCTCCGAACTCCCCTCCGCCTCGTCGCCCACCCAGACACCCATCTGCGACGTTTCGTGCAAGCCCGGCGGTCTTCGCGTTCAAGGGCCCGCCTGCGTGCACGGGAGTCAGCCTGTGATAGAATTGAGTCCGCTGGTCACTGGGCATGAGGACTGCAGCGCTTACCTCGAGTGCAGCAAACGATGACGTCTGTAGACGAGTTGTATCTGCATGCACCAGGACTTCCGTCGCATTAGCAGCACATCCCGCAAGGTTGAGAACGAACAGTACGTACCCGGTGTCGCATGAAGTGCACATGCTGACTCTGCGCCGCATCTCTGCAGCTGCTCTGGATGGTGACGGGCGCGGGACGAAGGGCCTACAGCGGCGTCGAGAGCACGCACCGATGGGGGACAGCTCCCGCCATCGTCCGGTGCATGTCGCGAAAGACCAGGACGAGGGGGAGAAGAGCGGTGGGTAGAGGGAGGATGGAGCGTGCAGCTCACCGCGGACGCCCACGCAGCTCAAGTACGACAAAAAACAGCGCGCGCACGGACCTCGAGCGAAGCGACGCGGGGACGTCGGTGCTGGCACGATCCCCGGACCACCGCGACGCGACGGCGGCATGGAGACCGCTGGCAGCGCATCCGGACGTGCGTCCGTGCGCCCGTGCGCCCGCGTCGCGGGAAGAGTCCACGGCCGGCGCCCAGGTGCTGCAGCCCGCGACGCGCGTTTCAGACGGAGGCGTCGCGTACGCACGGCGGCCGCGCTCGCAGGCTCCGGTCGCACACCGATCGGTTGGGTGCCCGCTCCTCTCCGCCGTGCGTGCATTTTCTGACCCCGTATCCGTTATTCCGTGCGCAGGACGCGTGCTGCGCCATCATGCGTGCGACGGCGGCGGCGTTTGACCGTTCCGCACCGGTCCTGCGATTGTGGAGGGCAGCCGACGAGGTTCGTTTTGGGGTGCCAGGGACGAGCTCGAC